TAGCGAAAAGTGTGTTTTTTTGCCCCTTAGATGGATACCATCTTAAATGAAATATTGATGTTATTGCTACTATGGTTACTGGCACAAGCGATTCACAAGCGACTTTCTATTTTATTAGCTCTGCTACTGCTAGTCAGTCCGCTCTGGGCATGATTTTGTTACTCCTGTTGTTGGTCGCTCAATTCCATCATCGTATGCTCAGCAGTCCAGAAGCTTTGGGAGTTCAGCCGTGAAAAGCAATTTCCCGACGGGAGAAATACGTCACAGAAAGAAACAATTTAGCCAGAAGTTTCAACGTGTAACAGCTTCAATTTTATTCGGATCCTCTTACAGACGACTCTCGTATTTTAGACATTGTTCAGCCAATCTATCCTAGGCGAGTGATCGCTTTATATAAGAACACAAATTCTGGGCTTAACTGTCGCTTCTTTGCTTGTTTCCCCTTCGGTTTGCTATTATTATTCTTGTTGTCATTGCACGTAGCTATTACCTGTTTAGGACTACGCTCGTAGCTTGGTCTCGGTTCTAAAACGAGGCTCTGGCCAGAGAAGATGCCTGCTGGACCTGCCGTAGATAGATCAGCTGAAAGATGAGCTCCCGGCCTCGACTGTTATGTTCGAGCAATAGCATCACATGGGAGCAGAGAAGTTTTACAACATGACCACTTGAATGCGGTATACAACTACTATTACGGCAACAGCGACGACGGCGACAAAGGCCGGCAGAGCCTTCATCTTATTATCTACTTTTTCGAACTCATAGGATACGCGGGCCGCACGTCTCACTGCGCCATGATGCACCCTAGCCGTTCGCAGAAGATGCTATGCTATATGATGACCGCCAACAACCACTTAGCGATGAGTCTAAGGGGTTTCTTCTTGGTGCATTTAATATTGAGTGGACTGTGTTGTCAGGGCACATTGGAACTTCTCACAATAGGGGCTTTTCGTTTTGGAAACCAACAACAGTTCGCCGCGATAGGGGCGGAAAACAGGCAGATTCATCTTAAAGAGACCATCAACAGCAAATAATTGCTACCAGTATTATAAATAATATAACTATTACTAATAGGAGACAGAGGAGACGGAATAATGCTTTTCAAGTTAATGGAAGAGCGAAAGGAAATGCTTCGGCATGCAGATTTCGCTTACTTGCATATACCCGAAGTAAATGTACTTATTAACACTGTTTGTTCGGCAAGTAACATGTATTTTTGGAATATGTTATTATAGGTGGAAAAAATTACACATGGTTAGAAAAACTGAGACATAAATATTGTATATTCATATTACGCACATTCTCTTTCTATAGTTGAAGTTACTGTGGCATGGACACTACCTAAGAGGATTTAAGTTTTTCTAATTGCTCTAATATAGCCACCGAATGCTCAAAACGTCAAATAGTTCGTTGGGGCTGTACATAACGTTAGTCCTTAAAACGTGTGCAGCGGAAGTCCAAGTGGAAAAAAGTGGTCTTGCGCTTAATGACTGAACTGTTTTGCCCCTTTTATGTTATTTTCACGGATAGCATAGAGTGGACAAGTTGAGGAGAAGATGCTTCAAAACGAAGCGTCTAATGGCTAATTTTTTTCCGACTGTAATATGGTAAGCAGAGGCATCATTTCCGTACCATAAAGTGTTATTATTTTCTATCAATTTATTTTCAGAACTAGTTGCTAAGCGTCTCAGCTGCCCTCAACAATGACCTGTCGCTGCTACCAAAGATTATTCGATGCCCAACGTAACACACCAATACATATCTGTCTACTGTTCTTATTTAGCTTTTACGCTTTCCACTCTACCTATTTATTTATGTTTTACTTTTAGCTATCTACCTACGTTTTTCGGAGTATTCTGCATATTTGAACGTGGAGTAGTGACGTTATTTATATAGATGTTGCCCCAGGTGTTCCGCTGTAACATAGTTTGTATTATCAACTATAACTTGAAAACTAGCATCTAGGCATAAGTTTGATTATGAAATGAAGAAAGATTATGTCGTTTCAACATAAAAAAATCTAGAGAACAACTACAAAATATTTTGCCTATGAGTGCAGCTTACTTATGAAATGAAGTATACTTCATAATCATTTTAACAACTTCAATTTTAACGCTGCACTTCCGTATTTCGCAGAGATAGAAACTAATGGCTGCAATTACGTAACCTACCAAGTTCGATACGTTCGAATAATCAGTACAAGTTTAAAATCAGAGGGCAGAATCGGAGGGTTCACTGGATCTATGCAACTGAATACGTGATATTGACAGCATTGCTATATAAAGTTATTTTTATATTCATCAATAATATAGTACGACCCATCTTAAGTTATTATATAATACAATACAGAGCTAAGAATAATGCATCTGTAAAATGATAGATTGTTGAGCTCACGTTGGACCGTATATGATATGCAGAACAGAATACCTTTTACATCCTGAATGCAGGCTAATTTTTTTTGTTCTACTTCAGGATTTCATCCATGTTCTGCCAGTATGTTACTATTACACATTTACAATACTGTGTGATTATGCCCTGTTTACGTTCGTAACCTTCATTATTAAGGGTGGCAATAAGAAAGTAACGATGCCACTAGGAATTGGGCTCCTGTCCGGAATGAGTCCAGACAAGGTAAAATAACATGAATTACAATACGATAATCCTCTAACTCATTCGCTCAACTTTTAGCCAAAAACTTAATTCAGTTATCCTATAAACACGCGACTGCGGAATCCACGAAGAGCTAGAAATATATTTGGGCCCATATTATGATTGTCACCAACAACTGTTAGCTAAACGCCCATCCATTTGACCTTCCATTAGAAAAGAGACGCCCAGCGAGTTATTTTATAGAAATAACTTCAACGAACCCGGGCCACCGCATCGCTATTAATAACGTTGTATATGTCGCACTACTCGATGAGAAGACTAAATAATCTAAGATCGAAATAATTTGAAAAATATCCCGCGTAATAGACGCCATGTTTTTATCGCTTGGTGTCGTCGTACAATTTTCTAGCTGCTAGCGTATATAGGAACTTGAAGGAATACTAAAGACGTTCATTTTGGTGCTATTGTACGTTGCCTTAGCGGTTGTCGCAAGTTCGTCCAGCCCTACTTGAGGACTCAACTGAATATGTCGAAATGTTAATAATGTCAGTGCGCAAGATGTTAAAGGTGAACTTGTTACAATGCCGCGTTGCTACAAGCATTCCGTACACAATTTAACACAAATTAACATTCATGGAATACTAGAAAAGACAAAAATGAAGCCGAAAAATTAACTTACTACTTCGATTTCGATATATATATACATATATGTATGTAGCATATACACGGTAATTGTACAAAAAAAAGGGACTCTATGAGGATCACACGATCATTAAATGTTTTTTCTACAATAAAATATATACCGGATTGCTATGAACGAATTTCCAGGCACGAGTGCACGTAAATGCATACAATTATCAGGGGGCATAGACTAGTAACATTGGAACCAACGGCCCTTAGCATCAGCTTATCACCTCCGACCCGGTAGCGAATCGACCGGGAGCGAATAGCTAATGTTGATCTTCCTCAGTTCTGTCGCTAAGTCGTCTCATTACCATCAAGAAAAATCATTGTTTATCCATTTTTTGCCTATTCAGGGATTTCTCGATAAACGTATTTTGCCTAACGTAATTGTAAAAGTTTTGATTATTGTGGCCGTTTTCATGGGCCATTTATTGTTAAAATTGCATTTGATTCCGCCAACTGGCGCTAACTCAGATGATAAGAAAAAACAACTTCAACACGGTCGTCTTCCATTGACTAAAGACTAGATAACACAGCACACGATACGTTACAGTTTGGAGATGAATAGTAATTTAACCTCATCCTTTCGTAAAGTATATACTGCTGTTTTAACGGAAAAAATTTCATTGGGAACTGCTAAACTCAATCGGCATTCGCTGTGTTGCGAATACGACGAGGTTTCTGTAGGGGTCTTTGGCTAATCTTTTCATAAGCCTTTTATCGACTTCTAAGGATATGCTTTTCTGCACCTTTATATTTGGCTCATATATTTCCAAAGCAATTTACACAGAAACTCAACTGGAAAGTAACTATACTCCCGTTCCATGCGTCTTTGGAGTGAAACCGAGATAAGGAAATGGTCTGGGTAGCAAAACCCAAGCTCAGACCAAGTTTAGAAATATGGCATAACAAAAATGAGAAATATTAGGGGGGTAAGAGCATTAGTTTACTTCATGTTGCTAAGACAGATTATGCACAACCGTATTATACACGTCTCTAGCTATGATGCGTCAAAGTTTGTTCACTGCTGTTGGCCGTTGTCTTTCATCACGACCCCTTGTAGGTACTGACTTCACGTACCGGCGGCCTGCACGCTTCGCGGCGGCCTGCACGCTTCGAAGCCATCAATGACCAGTTGAACATTTTGTATATGTCCTTAAGCATGAGACATCGGAAACTACAGCTTTCACCATCATTTTGTCACCCTCAACCCAGCGGGTGATATTTACCTCTTTAAGGTCTTTAGCTGCATCAGCGAATTGTTTCTGAGTCATTTTATCACCATCGAGGTAAACCATCGACCGTACTTCTTGTCCATCAAGGCGTTTTTCCATAAATATTTCGCCTATTTTGAACGTAATTACAGTTGTCTTCAACGTTGTGACTGTCTTTATAGTCCATCTGTCGCCATCTTTACTAATCGTCACGACAGGGGTGGCTGTCTCCGCAAACTTGCGCAACATAAAATTCACTCCAAGTTCCCTTAAGAAATTATCGAAGTTTTCACTGTCAGTTAACTTCCATTGGCCAATGAATGCAGAACTCATCGTTGATTCTGTTTTGAAGCGAGCAGCAGTTAGGTCAGCATTGACGCTATGGACCGTTGAGCTTCTAATATTTCATAAGCATATATATGGCGTCAATGGCAAGATCGCTTCTCGCAACAAAGTTGTCACCGGAAATTCGAAATGGTACCGACATCATCTTGCCTATCGGAAAAAAAAAACGAATTAATCAGCAGTTTTCCTAAGACATTGTTGTGGCAGGCAACACCCCCAAGGACGCCGTGATTTAGGAAAGGAAGATTCGGCCCATATTGCAAGTTAATTATGCAAAGTGTGTCATAAAGTGAAGCTAAAACCGAGGATATACGTTTTTTAAACATTAAACCGTGCCATTATGTGTACAAAAAGAATTTAAGACAGCATGAAATACAGAAATATTTATCTCTTGCATGATCGCGCAGGGGGTGGATAAGTAATTAGCATTACATTTCGTTTACTGAGAAACGGATCGTTTTGTTTGTTTCTGTTTTGTTGTTTGTTTGATTCTGACGCGTTTAGTCACAGTTTGAAGTATCTGATATCGTCTAGGTACGGTGCTCTACTAAAGGAAGATCGACAAATGTTACACTTTCCTAAAGATGTAACATGAGGTGAGGGTGGAACGGAAAAGATCACTGGCGGAAGTTCCCTGGACAGACACCCCTTTCAATGCGTTCGACATGAGGTACAGAGCTAGAGTTAATCCAAGAAAACGAGTCGCGCTATTCCATTCCATAGAAAAAAAAAAAAACAATAATATATAAATAACAGTAGATTTGCAAATTTCAAGAAACAACGAAACTAGGCCAATAGATACATTGGCAAGCCAGCAACTGGTGCTGTTTTCCAAATAAGGAGAACTTTTTACGATAGCTGCAAACATGTATGTATTAATGCCGTTGTGGATCAAGAAGAAGCCTTCCTAGACCAGTCTAGAAGAAGGGACCATGGTGCTCCGAATTTGCATCCCAGATCTCATGCATTTCGCATCCGCTATCACTAATCTCAGCTGGTTGCTGATTTATAGTTTCTGCGGCTATGAGTCAAGTCTAAACGAGGGTCTTCATATGTGGTTTTGAATCCAAAACAGCAGCACCTATGAGGGGTAAGCTCGTGAGAAACTCTTAACATTTGAGAAAGTCATCTATAAAGCTACATAAATGCTAGCATCACGTGTAAGAGACTTGTTAATATAACAATGGCTTTAAAAAGTATTCGCTCATTGTACTATTGATCTACTATGAACACTCTTCTTCACGTTCAAAGCTATTCGGATTAATTGTACCTGGCTACCTTTTTTTTTTTTTTTTTTTTTAACTTTTATCCTCAGCGCACCTGCGTGTACAACAGTAGGGCGAGCAAGTGTTTCATGAAATTACTGAATGACAGCTTTTGTACGTAGCCTGTTATAGTAATACATTGTATACTACGGTAAAATAAAAAAGTTTTTCATTCAGTATAGAATCTTTGCTCTGTGTACTTTAACAGGTTATGTACGTTTTTAAGTTCTATATAATCCAACGAGTCTAGTCATTTGCCCTTCCTGCACTGCTCGATTTAATTTTGTTTTCGTCTCTTTCGTGACCTGATATATGCGAAATGCAGTCGACCTTTATTAGCGTCCGGAGAATCCGGCTATCAGGCCAGCGCCGGTCTGCACCGTAAGCCAAAGACAAACACACAATATATTTTCGTTGTTTATTTTTTTAAACTTTGAGACTTTGGAAAAAAGCACGTGCAGAACTAAACGGAGGGCAAAAAGAAGCACGATTATATTGCGTCCTGTAGTTGGGGCGTATTGCTACCGTTACAACTTAACTTAGTTCTCCGACTGGATACACAACTAGACAAATTTAGGTGAGATGTATTTCAATATTAGTATCATTGTTATTATTCGAACTTTTTAATGCTTGAATGACTGATGTAATCGATAACAATTTAGTGTTATTCCTGACGTCCTTGAATTTTTTTCACCCCACCTTTCTGGGTTGAGTAGTGATTTTCGGATAAGGCCCAGAATGAATTATGCTCGGCGTCAAACGCGGAGCTGTTTTCAAGCTTTTCCGTGGTTTCTCTAATGTCGCTAAATTGATAAGAAATCCAGTTATCAGTTTTCTGAAACATGTTTTTTCGTAATAACGGTTACAATGAAAACGTTCCTCTTGTCAATCGGATTAAAGTTACTTACACCAGGGCACAGCTCTGGATATCTTTGTACTTTATTAGTAAGTTGGAGCTGGGTTTATTCAGTCGATTTGTGTAATTTAAGCATAGGTGTGCCGCTTTAGCCGTTTGTTTAGATGACTGTGGAGTTAACGAAGAAGACTGCGAACGAACTGCGATTGATGGATGAACACTGACACGTAGGTGAGACCTTGTTAGGATCAATGAACATTGCTCACTTGCAGGATTTTACAAGAATAGGCCTTGTGTTGCTGTCCATTTAGACAATCAATGAGAACCAGCTATAAAACGCAAGGAAAAGGACGTTATTCAGGCGAATACAAGTGGTGCAATTTATATCTTGTGGGGTATTTCTTGTCTTTGAAAAGTTACTTCCCATCGATTCGACTATAGCATGCATAGGTGGGTTTTCTGTAATATAAACAGTTACATTCCCTTTAAACTAACATGATAAACAATAAGTTAATAACGAAATCTGACAGCGGGTAGCAGATATAACACTATTGACTAGATCTGAATCAGAGACGACTGACTTCTTGCACGAAGAGGGACATAGAATTCGATGATTTAATGAAATATTTCAATTCAATCTCATTGAGGTATCAGAAGCTTGCCAAATGTAACTTTCGATCAGTTGAGATTTATAATTGAGATCCACTCAGGGCTTTCAGTGATAGGAACTTGAGCAGACAAGTATTAGTATCAATAGTTATATCATAATCTTTCTATAGCTGCGTACCTTTTTAATCCCTATATAATGTTTGGCTTGTAAGAACTAGCATTATTTATATTTGCCCGACTCCATGTCTGGCACACTCTAACGAAAACAAAAACAGGGCAAAGATTACGTTTCCCTTTTCGCGAGATGCTGATCAACGTAATTCGCTATATTGTATACAACCATAGATTTGAGACGGATCTATTTACGAGCGATGTGAAGTTGTCGTTCTTGTTAGTCCGGTATACATTGTATATATATATATATATATATATATATATATATATATATATATATATGGATTAATTGTTGCGTTTGTAATTACTATAGAGACGTATCCATCTTCGTGTGAGTCCATCGACAGTCAGTAGAATCGGTTATGAACGTACGTGCATACAGGTAAATTAAGCATTAGCGCCATGGCATAGAATTTCTTGAAAAAGTACGCACAAATACCACTACGCGTTTAGTTTTGAAACTTTGATATAGCCTCGATTTTAGGAACGAGTTTATAAATAACTGCTTCAAGCAGAGTCAAAGGTAACGCATATACTATTTTAACATATTCGATTTAACTAAAGGAATCGCGTGGCAGTGGTGTGAGAGGCTTGCTTTAGTCGTAGGTGAAGTACGTTCGCTCTCTGTTTACCCATAGGAGAAAACTGGAATCACCTGTACCAATTTATTATGTCGTGACTAGGTCCAAACGGTTCATCGTATCATGCTTGTGTGTGTGTGGGTTTTTTATTATCGTAAGATTCTGGTTTCGTTATGTGATGCTCAATGTAACGTATTGGTTTATATCAACCACAATACTTTATCTTTATTCTTCATGTATCTGTGAAAAAAATATATTGTAGACATTGATTTAACACGATCATGATACAGCCTCGATCCTTTATTGCCGGGAAATTTTATTTCCGTCTCCTCTCACCACTGCGATAGATGTTGGGCCATTTTGTTTTCTGTTTTCAGCGGGCACGAACCTCTGCATAACGTTAGTAGATTCATTTTCTTCTCTCTAGCCTGTAGTGATCAGAACTGTTTAACCTATAAGCCAATTTACAATGACATATATTTTTAGTTAACTTCGGCTATGTATGCACCTTGTCTTGCTAGTTTGTTGATACAAATGATAGAATATCTTGGAATACGTTTTCTCCAGCCCCTGTTGGATCCCTCCTTTTTTCTTGTGCGCTTCATGTTGTTTGGTCGATTTAGATGCGCCAAATTTTACCTTGGCGTCTTGAAGTTATTGCTTTAGGACATAGCTATTTTTAGGACAATTCGGATTTTCGTTTACTCTTCTAAATTCCTTTACATTTTCATTTGTGGTTTTTTCGTTTTGAATTTTTGTTACATTAGCACCCTTCCTCCGATCCACTACTAAATTACTGATTTAGCTATTGCGCTCCAGCTGTATTAACCAACTGTAGCATGCGTCATCTATGGCGGACCTAGACCAACCTAAATGGGTAGGCAGGTTCGTAAATCGAGCAAAGCTATCATGTATTGCGTTGTCTCAGGGCGATGAACTCGAACCCTAAATAACTGTAGAAGTGCTGTTGCTTCTCTTCGAAACGGGATGACCTTCACCTTTGTTGAATTAGAAGCGACTAAACAAACGTCAAAAAACGGTACGGAAATTACTACTGACTAACAGTACGACGCCCAGTCATTGACATTGTGTTCGTTCGTCGCCAGAGTGAGCCTATCATTTTCGCGGACAACGACGTTTTTTACGTACGTGAACTCTGGCGTTCCGCTTCTGTGACCCACTGGGACGTCTGGACGCATGTGGCTTTGTGCCATTCAGAGAAGCTCCTTAGCCAGTGTTAATGCGAGACTATGCGATAATATTGCGGTAACGGTGACAGCATTTTTTCAAACAAACTAATTTAAAGCCGCTGATTGCTGGAGCGTTTGCACGACCGTTATCGTAAGCTGATTTAGCATACGTCTGGTTGAATCAGAAGGCAGCTTCAATTAATAGATGAAGATGGAGAAATTGCTACCAGCAAGATCGGAGGGGCCTACGGAGGTTTCGCGGTTACAAGACCTAGCGCGCATGCTTCATGGCTTCCCTTTAGTACTCAAAACAGTCCAAAGTCGAAATGCTATGAGAAAGTGCAAACCGAAGATAGGTCAAAAAACACTGTTTTTTTTTTTGTTAAAAATGAAAATAATATAGCATTCGTTATCTCCTGCAAGCTTTCGACCACCCACGAGGGTTAGGCCGCCGACGCCAATAACCAAATCAGATACCGCAACTTATACTTAAGTGTGACGATACGGCTATCTAGGCATTGCATTTATGGACTGGTACATATCAGTTTATATTTCTCCCATGGAATATAGACTTTTTTACAACACATTGCGTAGACACGTTGTTCCGTATAGAGAGCCAGCTGTTCGATGCAACGCCTAACAGCGACGCGTGCCATCATAAATCAAAATATGTAATTTAGATCAATGATTCGCCCAATTTTATAGGTGTATTACGAGGGTTTCTAATAGGTTCTCTTTTCCTAGTGAAATTGCTCAAAGTAATCTTTCGGCAAGGACAACGGAGCGGATTTATCATGCTAAGTGAGAGTTTCTTGCCTTTCTTCGTAGGGCGTGAATTTAGCTAGAGGAAAAAGCGGAACATAAACTGCGCAGAGCGTTTAAGATCTCGAATTTTTTGAGTCTACAAGCTCTTACTTACCAATTTTCCTTATACATTTTTTCGAAAATGCATTACGTCTCGTTGTCTTCATCTGTGGACACATGTGAGGTACATATGTCAAAGCTCTATAAAATGGGTTTGAAATTATACATACTTTGCTTTTTATTTGTGCCTGTATTGGAGCTAATACTCGTGTTCAATGATATCAATAAATGAATAAAGCAATAATCTCAAACTAGCTTAAATGAGGCAACGTGTCTCGTTGTAAATACGCTGTGTTGCTTCAAGCTTTAGGAGGAAAACACGCCAATTGCTATCACGTTTAGGAGTCTGTCTATAGCCAATAGAGGCTAATGTCTCCGAATGATTTGTCCGTTAGCGATTTGAATCGTCCTATGCATCGCGTGCGTATGTAGCTGCTGTCATTGCTGGTGTTATGGAAGAGGTATAGTAATTGCCCAGACGAATACCATGGATGGCATAAATGGACACGAAGAACAGGCGTTCAAATAGGAGCAGTGTTATTTTTAAGGTCAAATAAAAGGATCCTGGTTGACTCTGAGTAATGTCATGTCACTGAATGTAGTATTCGTGGAGTTTCGTGTGGCTTCTTCGAACTGGTTCTTCATCTCAGCAAAAGGTATGTGGTCTTCCGTCCGTTACTAAATCAATTCGCGAACGTTCTACATCCTATAGCCAATGAACATTCTTCCTGGCAGCCTTACTTTTCTGAAAAAGGATCTGTATGACGTGGTCTTTGCTATATTGCATCAGCTAGCCATGAGTGCGGGCTACAGGTTCGATGTTCACCGTAACGGAAGCATTTTCGAGCTACAAAACAAGTCAACGTCTCTCTTTTCAAACGCACCTTTACACACGGAGTGAAGATTGTCTGTTAGTAGATGAATAAAAACAAGCGCCGCTAGCTGATCTGCGTGATAAAAAATCCAGCAAATTCATTTTAGCATCCACTCTAAGCACGGAGTGGTGAGGAAGTCTCTCAGCCATGGCGTTAACAGAAAGCATCTGCCTGCGTACTATGACAGGAACGTATCAGTTGTTATCGTAGCCAATCCAGCACATCTGTTTATAAAACTCGCAAAGATTCGAGCTGTTAAATATAAAAACTGTTGATTTACAGTCGCATTTAGAATTCAAGCGTTTATAGCTCGGCTATGTAAATCTTGTTTCCGGTAAAGCAGTCATCTGTCCATCTAGCTGCTACCAGCCAGGGATCTGAAACATCATGTGTTTATCGGGATCTCTGTTGGAAAAGTCACAGAACTGAATTGTTACGCCCTGCGCAGACGAGATGTTTTCGTGCAAATGGGTGTGACTTCATTTGTTTTTCTTCATTTTCCGCTCAACTTTAAAAGCTCTAACAGCAACTTTGCAACTCTTTGTTTTTGTGCTACTTTAAGCGCCAATGTTTTAGCATTTATCAACACTCAACTTAAACCCGCTCACTGTATATTAGAAACTTCTAAAACATACACGTGGAAACTAATCCAAAAGGGTTTGCTTTTTCAGGAATACATGTCAGCACTTATAAAACTATTCTTCTAGTTAATGGGATAACTGGTTTCGGTTGTAGAGCGTTCCGTATAGGACGCTTCAGCCGATGTTCTATGGTCCCATGATGACCTAACCCGACCATGTTCATTCTTCTTACTCATTACCGAAGTCGTGGTTTTGCAATCCGAATTCTTCGAACAACTGCTACTCGCTGTTTAATTGTCAAATCATACATGGGTCATAAGCTAACTACGTGCCAGTAGGGATGTTTAGCTAGAGCAAGCCAAAGTTTAGAGTAATAAAATAATGCGCTTTTCGATTTTCTGCCTTAACACGATTTTCAGATTCATTAGAAAGTGGTTAAAGAGTAACATGTATCCCGTTAATGCGCTCTGCAAATCTAAACATTGCTTCCGATAAAACGAAACGTCTTTCTTCTTATTAACTTGATTTTCTTTTAATAAGTCCTAGTGGTAGAATTTAAGCCTCAATGCCCATGGGTAAATATTTTGAGAAAGTTTAATGCTGCGATGCATTGATCTTGATAAGAAGCCCTCACGATCTGTAATTATAACTGCATTGTAATATCTGAATTATGACCGAATTATATTATTATTTCTAGTCATTCGTGGCCATATACCCATCACGACACCCCTCATTGTCCAAGTTGCAGCCCGGTGGACAGTTAAACGCCAAACCCTGCCGCAATGCTTATACATAAACAAGCTTCTGACACGCACACATAAGTTCTCCCTGTGCCGGATGTAGTAAGAACCGATAAACTCATGCGCGGCATCTAACCCTTCTGTCCTTGCATTGGAAGCACAAACCGGAAGGTCCAGTTAACCTTCTACGGCCCCCGCTTCCGAGATGATTCTTCAAAAAGAAAAACGTATGCGTCATAAAGGCAACAATAGTTTTCCAGCTGGAGATCCGTTCCATCGGCTATGTAGAACGTTAACCATGCAAGTGGCTAACGCGCCACGGCGGCTCGACGGCGCTCTATATATCTTCCCTAGTATCATGATGTTGACCCGCGTACATGGACTTTTTGGCTTAATTCGATGACCAATTACAATTTCGAGAAGGATTTTTACATGATCACACTAAATGAGTTCTGCTTAGTTGAACAAAAATTTGTGTTAGGTCAAAGAAAAACTCAGAACGATATGATGGTACGTTTAACACCTACGGCTAGTTCGAGGTAATCTAGAGGTTAACAATCCGTTCCGCGGCAAATAGGATAGTTTAGCTTAGCTGTATCATGATTGAAAACGTACGGATACGGAGACAACGAGTACGAGCTAGCAGCAAAAAAACATTGTAACTATGTTAAAGAACCCTCATCGCCCTATGTAACGTAATAACAATAACTAAGATAATGGCTAACCTACAAGTACAGGATCCTTACGGGTTTGAAAGAACAATTATGAGGACCTCTGCAGCGTACTTGATTATGCTTCATTTCCCGACTTGTACGTACTATTTCGATTCCTGAATTATTCCTCGTCAGCCAAGCAGAGTCAACAATTAGAGGTGATATAAATTTATTTAAATGACTACACACAAGTGTAGGGTGCAAGCCTTCAGCCAGACATGTTTAAAGCTCTTTGTTTCATTCTAGCACTTTTTCTCCGCAACACATACTCCAATATCGTTTGGCAAATACTCGTCAATTAATTCTCCTTTCAAAAATCGGTGTTATAGGATATACGTAAACAGATTAAACCATCCTATTGTGACCGCTCTCAACAGTTTCTTCTAACTATAATCGTTCAGTCAATCGAAAAATCGGCATCATGATGCATCTCTAAGGTCCCTGACGCCGATGACTAGGCATTTGAGCGATGACCATCAATGGAAGCGCGTTAGCAAAGCTTATATGCGCATATACATATTTAGTCGGGCCGACTAAGTCACTCGACGTTTTCCCAGGCGAGTATTGCACTCCCGCACGTGGTCCATTTTTTTTTCACGTTGAAAATGGCGGTATAGGACATAATTGCTTGCTTATGTAGGGCTCCAGATCGTTCTCTTAAATAATTCCCTTGGAAAAACCTTTGAACGATAGAGTGAGAGACATAATGTTCAGCAACAGTTTTACCAATGGAAATATTTATAAGGCTGTGAAAAAGTCTGCACATTCAAGCTGTAACTGGAAGTATACCCATAACTTAATTTCGCTGTAGGGCGAAATAATACCTTTTATTTTAGCAAATCGAATACCGTCATGGCTTTACGGTGTCCTCTGTTGCGGTGCCTGCGGAATTAAGTAAACCTGATAATATCCAATATTGTAGTCCGTTTTCTAGCATCGATGACCGTAGCTATGGGCTTTCTGCGCTGATAAAAAAAATTACGCAACACGCTAAAAGTATAAACGACTGAGAATAAAATACCTAGATAAGAGGCGACGTCTCTGTGTAAACAAACTGCTATATCATAGTGTTTATATCTACTAATGCTTACAAAATGCTCGATAGTATAAGTGCAAGGTGAAGATTTAGACAGAGCTCCCATATCTTTTTCTATGATGAATCTACGTACTTTACGCCGACGTACGAGGCTCACACGCGCTGTATGTCATAGATCTAATCGTCTTTCAAAAACGGAATCAGGTCAAAAACGAGAATAAGTTGTTGATATTTTCGATAGTTTTCTTGGGCAAGTTAGAAGTGTACAGTTCCTTTCATATAACACTAGACTAACTTATAGCCCAAAGATTCAAATAAGTTTTTTAATATTCACTACTGATACACATCCGAATTTTCGCGAAAAATCCGCCCTTTTTTTTATATGTAATTTTAGACTACATAGATAATTATGTACATTAATTTAATATAAATTTCACAAACTGTGCATAAACAAGTGTGCTTTTGACTTCAATTTGGTAAGTTCTACCTAAATGAAGCGTGGCTAATAAGTGAAGCAGTCGAGTCGCATATTTTGTTAATGCCAAAGAAAGATTCCTTAATGTTTTCCTTATTATTTGTTTACTTTTTATAATACCAAACTAGCAACTTTCAAGTCAAGTCAAATATTTTAGAATGTCGGACAAGAGTTCCGTCAAGGATTTCAAGCCATGGGTATTGTATGGAGGTTTAGACTTAGTCTCATTCTACTGAGTAAAAAAGTGTTAAGACAGTCTCAAAGGTGCAGGTGTTTTTTTTGTTATGACTGCTTGTGTCTATATGTCCGTTCGCTGGCATACAAAGGTCCATTAGAGCCCCACTGTTAACTGTGTATATCGTGTTGGCCTGATGGTGCTTTTGCCATTAACACGAGGCTCGAGAATTTCAAGGTGACCGAAGCATTATTCTCACCTGTAAAAAGACTTCTTTTTCTGCCGAATCAACCTCTGTTCAAGAAAAAGCCTCAACGGAAACCACGACAAAGAGAAGACCAGACTATTTCATCCTAGAACGCTTTAGGATGAAATAGTCAAGCATCCCATGGTGATTGTCCCTCATATACTGTGTGTGTGCTTTGTTGGGTGAATATGTTTCGCTGTCAGGCGCCCATCTGCACATCATCAAGATGTCAGTTGAAAATACGCTAGCTGAACGGATGTTCTATCTTCTGGAAGGCCTCGATTTTGGCACCGGAAAATAAACCTTCCTGGAAATTTCTTTTTAGGAGGACCAAGGTGCCAACAAACTGATCTCTGGTTAAAGTAGGGTTGTGCTTCTATATACATTTCAGTACTCTCTTCTACCTCAAAGATGTTAAAAAAGTGATGCGAGGCTGCGGCAACCTCGTATTCGTGGCGCCACCATGGAAAGCGACAAACTGCCAAAAAGTGTAGCTAAAGGGATTGTGGCTGGATGGTACTGCTCACCTATATTCAAAAAAATCAGAGACAGTGTGAGCTTAACATCTGCTGTTTTTCAGCAAACGGATGAATATTACACGAGGTCGAGGATAACGAGGTCAAACCTGGCCGACAAACAACTGCACGAGGTTCGCGACACGGAGTCCATCGTCTCTCGTATGGCAAAAGCCCTATTCAAACGCAGCTATCGCCTCTTCTTTTCTAGTTCTATGCTGACATTCTTTAGAAGACAAAAAAGACTAGGCCAACAACTCAGGCTCCAAAGGGTTGACTTGGACTTAGGTAGGATGTGGGTAAGCGTGCTCTAGATAACTCGAGCAGGACGTAAGGGCAAACCGGGGTTAGTTATCACAAAGAACGTCCTGCTAGATCCCCGTAGGACAAAGTCGGAACAAGAGGGCATGCTCTTGCGTGGGAAGGGGCCATTGCACGTAGAAGTAAGCTTTTCTTTTTGCTGTTATGCACACGCACATCTACGATGAGACATGCGAAGGATTCATAAGGTCTCTTTTTCCATTCGCTGCTGCAGTTCCTTCAGGAATATCCTTGCCTGCATGTAATGAAACGTGAGTGTCTTCCGTTTGAAGACTGCCTAAATGAAGAAACGTATAGGCAACACACGGAGTAGCCACTTGGTGCAGGCACGGGTGTGGCGTGGACTAGATGGCTCGACCAAAATACCGGAAAAGGCTTTGCCTTGAATAATATGAACTGACTTAGAAAACGGATGCAAAGAGCTTCAAAGTATCCCATCTGAGAAATAAGCGCTACGTATGCATTTTTGTACGAAGCCCTCGCGTACACACACGCAGGTAGATACTACGACTCTCCTCAAAGGTAATAAAGTCAACAAAATAAACTTGGTATAGTTATTTTGGTTTGTAGAATCTTACTAGATCTACACTAAATACGCAGCGTTCGGCCAATATGTTTTCGCTCCCCGGGATTCTAGTAACTCGATTTGCTAATCGAGGACGCGTGCCGAAGTCGAAAATCCTTGAGGACGGGCTGCTTATAGTTAATGCAGTCACCTAATCATGAGAGCAAAAAAAACAAGAGGTGCCCCTGAAAAAATTGTATAAAACCATTAATATAAAAGGTAATCTGTATCACTGACAACACGTGTCATTTAATTCAACCTAGTTTTCTACCATAGCGGTTGTAGAGGCAGCACATTTGATGAGAATTTATAGGTTGCCTAATGCCAACATCGTTTTGATGCTATGAACGCAGTTCTCCTAATAGTACAAGAACCAAGATTATTCCAAGAAAACAATATATCTTACAGATGGCGATGTTTTAATATATGCTAACAAGCGGATTTTTCTCAACAAGCGTCTTCAGTTGTTATCCGTTTTGTTGTGGTATTACGGGGTAGAGCGCTTACATTGTACGTTGCAAATGTTTCCGCCATTCAGAATAACTGAGCTAAATTTGGAGTAGCTCTACATTGGCTCAGTACATATAAATTTGAATTTCGGACATATTTTGAAGGCAATAGAGCCGTTTAGACTTCACTCCCTTGATCGCGCCTATCTAATACCTTATAATAGTTAAGTTCTCCGTACAGGTATCTCATATATAGACTTTGAAGTGCCAGAAAATTTTCCGCATATGAGAACTTCAAGTTATCGTTGTTCGCAGATGATTAGCGTATTGGTGTGTTTATTATAAAAAATACAGTACTGTGAAGAGGCGATGGCAGTCGACAAGCATAGGCACATTGGTCTATCGACTTAACAAATGTCGTCAGCGGTACGATCAGAGCTCATCGCGTTAGCAGAGTTGCATACCCTCATTTTGTCAATATGAACAAGCAATGTCGAGCACCTAGCAACGTAGCGAACAATAAATTATCAACATTTCGTTAAACTGACCCCAAACGAAGGCTTTTCAGTTATTGCAAATGCCTCACAGGGTCCGAGTAGTGCTAGTACACGTGCCCCCTTTAACTGGGGTCGCGGGGACGACTTTTTATTTGCTTTTCGGCGTTAAGAGCAGTGTGTCGACCGAATCTAATGCCGTTCTTAGCCAAGGTTTTGTGAACTTCGTCGTTCTGGACATAGGTGGCGCATTAACAGAACCTTACCTGACCCGATAATATCTTCCAGGCTGTGATGCGGTCGAAGAAGAGGCGACAAGCATTTAATATTATCCTATATTTCAACTTAATTAAATATCACGTCACATTTGAAGTGTGTGACGCTTCTTCTATACGTTTATTTACAGCTTGTAATAGTTCCATGCATACATAGGACTTTTGGAATACAACTATGGTAATCTCTATGAACTCCTTGTAATACGGACCCTGTGTTGGCTGTACATACGCTTAGAGATACGATTGATTTTATTCTTCCTTGATTCAGAACTATCAAACTGAAGTGAATTAATTCATGATAAAACACTGTTCTGCATAAGCTATAGTATTTAATAATCTCGTTGTTAGTTGATCTGAGTTTATGTCTGCTTTCTATGAGGTCGTTACGATTGTTTTTCTGCTGTACACACTATATTACTTATTGCATCGAAGTTAGCAGGCATCTAATTCGCTTTCTAGACACATACGCTACACGAACGCCTGCAAGGACTTCTCCTGGACCAAAGATGCCTACGAAACCTTTAAGGGTTTCATTTAAATTATTACCAATAGATTATATGCTTTAGCCGTAGCGACCATGTATCAACAACAATTTGATTTTTTTTTAAGTAAATTGTAAAATTTATCATTTGAACATACTGTCCTTGTTTAACAGGATATGTGGCGGGACCAATCCAGCTGATGCATACCTTTAGTTAAAACAAGTTGATAATATTGAGAGGAGTTATGAGCGATGTGGGCGCGATACACCGATGCAACGCA